ATTTCTTTTAGCCATTTTTATTGTGAGCCCTTACAGTGCATGACACCATCAGTGCAACCTGTAAACAAAACATGAAGGTGGAATGACAAGCCATGACACCAGAGCCATGCTTATAAGTTATGTTTTTCCAGCTGCTAATGCAAGTAATATGTGGTTTAAGTAGGAACAAAAACACATCTCCCGACAACTCAGTAGTGCAGGTTGGATGCAGAATACCAATAGAGAGCTGTCTGCATCCAGTCCCCATTGGGAAGAAAAATATTTGTCAACTCAGTTCAAACAGTGCATAAATTTGACGGAGCAGCCATCTGCTGACAGACCCTGCTCTGTGCAGTACTATTCCCATCAACCTCTGCTCATGATCTGCCTTTCTCCGCTTCCTTTTTTCCCCCAGGTATCTTCAGAGAGAGTTCAGGTTTTCCAAGGCACTGAGATACTTCACTGGTTGTGTGACGCTCAGGACCAGCCCGGCGCTGGTGTGTAGCTACCTGCAGGCTCTGTAGCTCAGCAGGTTATTGGTATTGCTGTCAAAGCCCCTAAGGTTCGATTTTTGGAGGGACCAGCAAGCTCCCTGCTCTTGCTGACTTTCATGGGAAGCGAAGGGTGCACATCCTCTCTGAAAACTAGAGGCACAGACCAGATGTTTTTTTGTCAAGGAAAACAATAAGGAATAAAACTGTAGAAACCCTGCGACGGAAAAGGCTGTTAAAAGAATGCCCTGCTGCTTGAATGTGGCATTGTTTGATAGTTTGCTTTTAAATAAAGCTTTTCATTGTAGCTAGAGAGGGAAAAAGGGATTTTTTTTTTTTAATAAAACCCCACATGGGCAGCTATTGAAATCAAAGAGAGCAGGAAGGATACTTCAATGGACAGCGTGAAAGCCAGGTTAACTGGAACACAACTGCAATTATATGTCATCGCACTGGAGTAAAAACCTAGTAGCAACTTCTGTCCTGTTGCCTGATGAGGATATTTCTTTCTTTTTTTTATAACTCGTGCTGTTGTGAAAATGCAACATGTACTTCATCTATGAGAAAGGTGGGGAGGAACCAAGCCAAGCGTGCTGTTGTTGATGCGAGGTTGACAGCATCTTTTAATGATGTTAAGGGCCTCTTTCCATGTTTTCTGGAGGATAGGGAGTTTTTTTTGTGTGGTACTGATGTTCTCTCTTCACCATTACAGCAGACACTCCCCTTTTAAGGGAATCTTTGGGGAAAGGGTGGGCAAATCCCTCCCTTCTTTTACCCACTCAAGCAGTCACACATGACAGATTCATGCCTGCAGCACTTCTAGGTTTTATCTGCTCAGTAAATTTTATTTCCCCTCAGTGAGTGTTTATATTGCTTAGAGACTGCCAAGGTTCATGTTAATCATAAAAAAAAAAAAAGTGAAGGTTTATTAGGTATTGCAGCTCTGTGATTCTTTGGCATTTGAATGTTAATGAAGCTTTGTATTCTCTGGAATAGCTAGAGAGGTGGATCTTACCTCTGGTGTGGCAAAATATCTGGGTGGTGGATCTTTCTTCCCTTTCTTCTGGGTTTTAACATCTTACATGACATTTCATCCCAGAGTGATTTTACACTATGCATCATCATGGGTAATACTGTGTCATGCAGTAATTTTGCCAGTGCATGAAACAGCAGGAGGGTGGTGAGAACAGGCTCGATGACAGCCCGGAGGGAGAGGAGAGCTCAGTGGAGGGACCTGCTCCTGGGAGGTCAGGAATTGGGTGTCAGCACTTTGCCAGAGCAGAGGTGAATTTATGGTTTTAGGGCTTCAGTGGGCAGACAAGAGGAAAGGAACCAGTCAAGTTGCATTACTAGTGGTTGTTTCCATAGGCTATGCATGTACATGGGATTTAACAAAAGAATAAACATTTATTCTTGCTTCAGACAGCTCGGTTCTTCCTTTTTCTGAAGGCTAAAGGAAGAACTTGGCCATTTAAACTGGCTTAGAGTGAGAAGCCTTCAAAGCAACTTTGGTGGCAAGTCTAAGGGAAGGCAGAAACAGAGCCATTCTGGGTGAGGGAGACATCTCACAGGGATATTCCCCTTTCAGAGCCTTGTCTCTGGGTGCAGACATCCCTGATGGGTCCCTCTGGGATGGAGGAAACAGTGATGCAGAGGGGGAGAAAGGAACCAGGTAGATGTTAGGGCAGGAGGGATCATGGGACAGGGTGTACGCATCCTGTTGATGAGCAGCTCTTGCTAGCCCTGATGATGAATTTGTATTTACTAAAGAAACCTAGAGGTTGAGCAGCTTCTTGTTTCTCAGGAACAAGCGGTACTTTCTCACTGAGTTACGCTCTATGCATTCCCAGGTGGCATTCAGTGTAATTTCATTGCCCTTTGTCTCTTCCTTTGCCCTGAGCACAAGTTTGTTCCTTCAGCTTAACCCAAACAAGATTTCTTTTTACATTGTACATTGTACTTAAGGCAGAGCTACCAAACTGGAGAGCTGAGCATTTTGTATTCTCTGAATTCTCTCCATGGCTGCCCTCTAAGCGTTGGCTTTGGTAGAGCAAGATGTATGTCTTGCTTTAGTGCCTGTAGACTAACTTCAAAGTTAGTTTGACAATGACCTGTGTCATTGACATCTTTGTATTAATGCACGAATCATTACTGGAGAAAGCACCAGGACTAACCTACTCCCCTTTGAAATGGGGAAGAGTTGCTGAGCAGGTATTTTACAGGGAAAAATGCTCTTCCACATTGGCCTGCCAGAGCTGGATCGTGATGGGTCTATTTGGAGAGGAGTCTATTTTTCCCAGGTTTCCTGTTGGAAGAAGTAGAATGTTGGCATACTTCCTCCAGGAAGTCTCTCCTTTTAACCATACTTTTTCAAAGTGACTTTTTTTCCAGATGTAATATAACTTCTTTTGGGGGCAGAAATCACAGCAAATTCCATTTCCGTCTCACTTGAATCTAGCTGAGACTCCTTCCTCTTCAGCATTATGAAACGGGATATGGCTTCCCTGGACCGGGAACCCATGGGCTACCAAAACGTGGGTTTGAGATGTTTCTATTTTAACTTGCAGGCAAGCGTGCTTTGGTGGGAAGGAGGTGGAGTGCATATTTTCTTGGTCAGACTAGTGCAATTCATACAACCGTACTCCTTTTCTACTAGCTACCTTTTCAGCACACCAAGACTCTCTTACGCATGCTCTATTATGAGATCCAGCAGTAAGTGCTTCTCCCTCTGCAGCTGCCTTTTGCCTAATTGACCCATTTTGCTGCAGATTAGGCCCCAAGGAGGAGGTTAATATGAACAGTCATTCTAAAAAGCGGATCGGGGCTTCAGTGACCTATACATCATTGGAAAAGCCTGTTAGCTCCAGTCTTCTTACCTTTTTACACTTCATTCTAAACTATTCTGATTTAACAATGAACTTTTGAATCCCTCCTGCTAACAGAGTCTCTGCACCTCTCTCTTTCCTGAGTTTTGAATTGGATGTGTTGGGTCAGATTTAACACCATGCATGCAGATTTACCTTCAGTCTTTCTTTTTGTCTTAAAACAGCCACCAAAATTGTGTATTTGGATCTTCCAGCTTTGTAGGTGGCATTGCCAGGGCTGCTCTAGCTTCTCTAAGTAATAAATAGTCCCAGGGTTATGTCTGCAGTGTAGGAGTACATCTCTCCAGGCTGTGCATCTTTCTGCAGGATTGGTGAGGGCAAGAGAAATCTTTTCCTGCAGTGCAGGTAATTACAGTGGCCCCTTTGAGTCTGTGCAGGGATTGCATATCATACAGGTTCTTGGAATTACAGCTGCCGTCATGACCAAAGGAGAAAATTAGAGCAAAATTCCGTGTGAACCGATACTGGGATGGGGAGGTGCTGCAGCTCGCTCCCCGTGCTGCTGGCTGTGCAACTGCTTTAAATGTTTCCCCTCCTGCTGTTCCCACCCCCATCATCTCTGTAAGTGAGTTCATTTGATCAGGAACTCTAGTTTGCATGGTAACACTGGAGCCCCCGGGGATTATGATTTTTCTTTTTTTTTTTCTTCATGCCAATCCAGATCAGTGTGAGACAGCAGTCTCGACAGGATAGGCTGCTCTAATTTAGGCAGTAGAAGTCCAGAGACATTTGTGCTGCATTAGCGGAATTACCAGCTGGGACCAAGAACTAGTTTTGAAGAAGGGGAGACCCTTGTGCAGCCCTTGGGGAGGACACAGCTCAGCTAAAATCAAGGGTCAGCGCCTCAGTCCAGACATCTGAATGGGGCCAGGAGACTTGCTGTGGAATGAACTATTTAAGAAGGGCCTGAAAGGGCTGGCGAGAAGGGTGCTATAGCAAAGAAACAGAGTGGTGCAGCAAATAACCTGCTTGGGAGTGAGGAGAGGGGGAATATTGGAATATTTGAACACCAGCATCTGCTTGGACATGCTGTGAGATTTACATGCTAGCTTTTGTCAGTGGTCAGGGTATTGTCCTTTTACAGCTTTAATAAATAGAGAAGGATTCCCTTTCCCTCCTGCTCCCTTCTGCAATGTACTTGAGGCACAACTTATCCTTGTCACGTCTCCCCGAAGGCACAAAGGGATATGTGCTACAAAGGCTTCACTCTTGTGCCTGCCCACCTACCTCTGTTATCAGAAAAGCAGGATCTGGCTGTGGTTATAAGGCTGCTTATCTGCACAGATTAGACCCAGAATGTGGGCTCCAGCAGCTGGCAGATCCTGCTGGGTCAGCAGACGGGCAGCTGAGACCATGGGAACACAAAGCCACCCAGAACACCAAATGCCTCGGCAAAATCCATGCATTTACACAGGGTTAAATGCGGGAGTGTGCTCTCCTGAAGGTCTGAGGGGGAATGGAAATGATGTGAGAATTTAGGGCTGTTGGATCTAGCGTTCATTCAATTACCATGCTTAGTTAAGTACTGCACAGTGGAGTGAAGACTGCAGTCTGTTAGGGTGGCTGTTACTATAAGTCACTTAATTATGAGGTTGCTCACATGCCATTTTAACATATGTAGAGTAACATTATCCTTCTTTTGTAGGTCACTATTCTCATAAGTCTGGCTCTTGCATTCCTTGCCTGCATAGTGTTTCTTGTGGTATACAAAGCCTTTACTTACGACCACAGTTGCCCAGATGGATTTGTTTATAAGGTAAGAAACTTCAGACGGATGAATTGCCTGAGATAATGATAGACTCTAATTGAGTACATGGTTACAGTCTAGTCTGTTTTTTTGACCAGGCCAAACAGAACATTTGGCAAGAATGTGTTGAAATGGGAACAGTGTTATGGGAAATGTGGACTTGCATCTGCCTCCATCAGCTACTGTTACACTGTAATTGTTGGGATTAGCATTTGGTGAACACTACAGGCAGATGTTCGGGAACAATCCCTCATATTTGTGAACAGATTTATTGCAGCTGGATTCCTGCATTTGCTTCCCACACGTTCAAGTGACTGAGGTTTACTGACATACATTTTAATGCAGAGCAAATTCCCAGAGTGCTGGCACATATGTCCTTTGTGAAAGAAATCAGAATTTGCCCATGTACTTCAATTTTAGGTGCTTTTGAGCCTCTATCAGGAACAAAACTGTGTAGCTTCATTGCTAAAACCCTGCTGCCAAGTGATTTTATAATGAGTATTCACAGAGAACTATTTGCCTGGTCTGTTGAGATACAATAAAAAAAAAGAAAAAAGAAAAAAAGCTTTGCAAAATAGTTCACTGACTCCTTGCTGTGAATAAACTCATAAACTCACAGAAGTCTTGACCATGCTGGGGATGGTCTGTGGGCTGGAAAATAGAGTAAGGATATTGGTCCATTAGTCACCGTGAATTATTCTCTTGGGTTATATAAAAATGAAGTTAGGACAGGGCCATGAATTTTGGAATCAGATCCAAACCTGAGCTTCTGAAAAGCTTAAAGGTTTTGGACTTAAATTTCAGCTAGTCACATTGAACTGGGAGTTAGGGTATATCATAATTTAATAAGAATTGTACCTGGGGCCCTTGGCGTCCTTGGCGCCACTCTGACTCCGGTGAATTCCAACCAGTCTGACATTTGTCACCATTTGATTGCTCTTTACAGCTGTGGCAAAGCGAATTGTTTTATCTGTGCAGTTCTTAGCACACACATGTCCACAGTAGCGCGGCAGCGATGCCTGGGCAGTGTCTGCACAGACAAGGAGCTCTGGCCAGGGGCTGCGCTTCCTACCGTCCCCGACCAAGGGGGTTGTACTACAGGTCAGAGATAATACGCTGTAGCAGAGCAGCACATAAGCTGCTTACTCTGCCGCTGCCTGACCTCTACTTGTCTGAGGATTAATTCTGGACTTCGCTCTGCAGAGCTTCCAGTGCAGCACGTGGTAAGAGCTGCTCAGCCAGCCCTGCCAGGACTCCAGCAAGGGGCCTTGGTCTCTGTGCATGCCAGTAATGTACAAACCAGTCAGACTTTCATTTTACTGTCCCCATTTCCCATCCACAGCTAAAATCGGCCTGCAATCAGGGTTGCCAATAGCAACAGGTTTTGAAGGCTGCTGCCTGACTCTAAACTTTGTGCATTCCCATGGCGCTGAAACGCAGTCGGGGCTGTGCAGCAGATGCTTTCGCTGCAGCAAGCCAGAGCCAAACATCATCCATGCAAACAGCTAACCCTGAGATTTTTTAAAGGCAGATCCTGAGGCTGATGGGACTGCTTTTTACTTCTCTTGCTTTCTTCCCCTTCCCAGCACAAGCGCTGCATCCCAGCCTCCCTGGACGCGTACTACTCTGCACAGGATTCCAACTCCCGGGGCAGGTTCTACACCGTCATCAGCCACTACAGCATGGCCAAGCAGACCAGCTCCCGCGCCGTATCGCCCTGGCTGTCTTCAGGATCGGTAAACCATGAAGCCAAGGGTGCCAAGACAGAAGGTCATTAAAGTTAACAAGTGGTGATGGGCAAAGTGAGAGGGCGTCTATACTGCGTTGTTCTAGCTGAGGGTCCCGTGCCAATAGCACGGCAGGAATAAATAAAACCCAAGTGCAGGAGTCATTTTAATGGATATTTCTTTTCGTGCATTGTTCTCGTTGATTTGTAATCGAGTCGAGCTCTTGTACAAAGGCATGTTTGATGTTGACTGTACCTTACGATGTAAAAATATTTTTAAATCATTGCTTAACTATTTGTTAGAAAAAGAAATTAAAAAACAAAAAAAGCAAATTAGATAAACAGCCAGAGAGGATAATAGCAGCAAAGAGAATCCCACAAAGTTTTATCATTGCTGGAAAGCTGTAACAGAGGCTTAACATGCAGTGAAGGAAGAGTGGAAAACCTTTTGAGAGATGGGATAGAAAGAACCTGGTACAAAGGCATTGCGACATCATTCAGCTTGCCAAAGAGGGGAAGTTTTGCTGTCAAATTCAATCGAGCATCAGCATTCATTTGCTGATAAGAGAAATATGAGCATCCCCTCCCCCCTCAAAACTAACTCACACACGTGCAAACACAAATGCACACACGCTCCCGCGCAGTGGCCTAAGTAAATCCAGAAAGACCTGGGCATTCGTAATGAGCCACCACTGTGCTGGTGATCTTGGCTGGGCTCTGAGGATGGAATCCTGGTTGGATGTGGAGCAGGATGGAAGCAGACGGAGGCTGCTATAGTGAAAACATGAATATACTTCTGAGTATAGGACGAGGAGTCAGGAGATCAGGGCTTTATTTCTGCTCCTGGCACACATTTCCTGCATCACCTTTGGCCATTTACGTGAGGCTTCACCCTTTGGGACCTCTTTCGTGAGGGTCACCAAGAGACAAAGAAATGCCATTATAAATTGAGGAGCCTCTGAGGAGTAGTGATAGTATAGAGCAGTATTGAGCCTCTAGATTTTCAGCCCCTAGTTTTCCCTCACCCATGAAATAGGGTGCTCCTGCTTCCCTCCTTCAGCTTCAGATACTTCAGTATTTAGTGTCATTCTGGGTAATTAGAGAGGGATGGCTGTAGCATGCTCTCAGTACAAAGGTCCCATCAGATCTCTGCTTGCAAACATAGACCAGACCCCAAGCTTAATCCAGCCCTGGCCAATGCAAAACAACCTCTCCCTACAAATGGGATATGTAGTTAGTGCAGACTAGTGGGATTTATAAAAAAAAGGATTCTCTTTTTCAGAACTGCAAGCTGTTGCTGGAAAGCAGCTCTGCTCCTCCGTGGGATAGCCAGGGTGAGACTGAACAGCAAGAGCAGAGTGCACAGGGCAGGCAAGGTTCACTTTTGGATAAGGCTTCTTCTAAAGATTTGTGGCTAGACTGGGATGGAAATTAGGAACTGGCCCCTTCTTCCCCATGCATTGGGCAGTTTTGTCCTCCATTTCGCATACATAGACACTAGAGGGTGTAAATGAGGGCAGAACTCCTCAGTCCTAACAGGCATCATGATAAATAACTGTATAGTGTAGCTAAAGATGTAGTGCCAAATGCCATTTGTCTGATTTCCTATCCTTACTTCCCTTTCCACCTGTAAATTCATTTCTCACTCGAAATGTACAAACCACCCCCTCCACCTACAACCAAAACTCCAGCAAACCACTGAACAGTTTATAATTTTGTGGTGTATTTTTTGTCAGTAGGTAGCAGAAACTGAAGTATTTTTTGGTGTAATTCTTGAACTTTTCTGACGGGATTAAAATAAAGCTAGATGTGACTGAGTGTCCCTGTGATTCTGACAGGTTTTTTGGGGAGACTTGTGCCACGGGCTGGGAGGGAGTGGGTGGCAAAGTGTGTGTGCCTAGTGCTGCTGAGCATGGCTGCAGTGGAGACTGCACCTTTGCACAGGACCTGAGGTGGTTCTGGCTTTCAGGAGCATTTTCAGAGCTTTTTATTTTCTCCTTGTTGAAGTTCAAGGCTGGGCTGGCCACTAAACTCTGATAGACACTCTGTGATTCCCACCATCACCCTCCCAGGGGAGGATAACAGGGGAACCAGGGAGGGAGACTTAGAGGCTGTAAAAATCTTGAGCCAGTATAGTGACAAAGAAAATAACACTTAGAATGACAATAAAGATGTTGAACTATATACAGATATTATACAAGCATGCAAATATATTCAGTGATGAAAGAAAATATGTTAATACAGAACCCACACCTCCCAGATGACAAGTCTATCCCAATAGGAGAAGAAGTCCAGACTGGACCTGGTAGCTGACAGGAGCAGCCAAGCCCAGAGTTCTGATGGTAGCCCAAAAAAACAACAAACAAAAAACCAAACCTTCAAAGGAGCTGTACTGCTCCCACCCAGAGAGGCAGGGAAAGAAAAACCTGTCCCAACAAACAGTGATCCTCTACAGTGTGAAGACAGAAGCACCAGCAGCACAGGGAGAGAAGACAAACAGCCAGCGCCAACCCTTCCAGCACAGCAGGCACTGACAAGCCCAGGGCTCTGCTCAGGGGCCCTTATATACTGAGCACCATGGGAAGGAATGCTGTGATTGGCCCACTGGGGTCACCTGACCCATCCTCTCCTCCCCATTGGCACAGCTGCCCCTCTTTCCCCTCTCTGTGATTGCCCCCGGGCCAGGACCCCCAGAGCACTTTTATCCTGGGGCTCTCAAACCAGGACACTCCTTTAGTGCCTTCAGGCTTATTCACAATGTTCCTGTCCATTTTTCAATTGCAAATAGAAACATAATAATTAAACCTAAGCTGATCTTCTATTGGTGATTCTTCTACAGAAGGACCTCCCCTCTCTTACCATTTTAAGTCCAATGAATGATGGAAACTTTGGCCGGCAGCAATGGCTCCTTTGCCCTCTGCTCCCAACTCAAGCGTTCACGTACGCTGGAGCAGGCTCCATAAGAAGGGTGGGTATGAAAAGGAGTGCTGCAGGGAGAGGCAGCTGACAAACCGAGAGCCGTGGCTGAACACTGGAAAAGCTGAGCTCTGTATCCAAACTCTGCAGCTTGGTTTCTAGCAAAACCACAACTGTATTCATCTCACATTGTTCAGAAAGCAGACTGTATTTCCTCAAATCCGTCAGCGATTTGAAACAGAACGATACTGTGGCATTAAATTGGCTCATTCCCAAAGGCTAAAGAATGGTTTATAAAAACCTCAGGATGGCTTTCCTTCCAAAAAAAAAAAAAGTATATTCAGAGTTGTGAAACTGAGCTACTGTAGGAGAGAAACCACTCTGGTGTTAGAGGTCACCACTGAGTACTTGTGAAATGTATTGAAAAAGATTCGGTGTGCTTTGCAGAACTGAGTCACGGGATAATTTGATCATGGTATTTCTATTGCCACTTTCCCAATAATACACCAACTGTGTGTTTACTTTAATCTAAAAACCCCAGGAATCAAATCATTTGAATTAAAATGTTCTAGCTATTATCAGATAAGTGAGTCAGTGGGGATAACCATTCCTATTTAATAAAGGAAAGGTGAAAACCTATATGGAGCAGAATGGAAAAAAAGATGCAAGGAAGACTCATTAGAGAGCAAAAGAAACCAAACAACCCAACTTCAGCTGCAAGTTCCATTACTGGGAATGTTATTACCAGTTTTGTTCAGGCTGCAGTAGGGCTTCCAAGATCAACCACGTATTTTAATCACAGTAACATTGAGAGAGAGAGAGCGAGAGCATAAATTGAAATTGAGTGCAACGTCTTCTTATTTCAGCCTTTAAAAGCCTCCTTCAAGGTTGATCATACATTTTCAATGCTGATTAAAGTAGCACATTGGTGATAATACTCTCTCATCCTGGCTGTCATCTCTCTATGAAGTCTAAAGCTCCTGACTGGCACTGCAGAATAGTGGTTTTGTGAACTAGTATCTGGGCGAGGGCTCAGACTCAGTTTTGAATGATGCCTTCCCTGTGCTTCCCAATGTTTATGTGATGCCCAAATCAAGTGAGTCCCAACCTCGTAATCTGTGACTGACTCTGCTAAAGCGTGAATCCCTTTGAGGGATCTTCTCCATTTTACTAGATTGCTGCAGTGAGCTCAGATTTTGAATTCTCCACCAAAATATTCTTGTGGACCACTGGGACTGGAAGAGTTGATTTCTCTTTTGAGACAGTCGTGTAGGAGATTGGTTCCTGGACTCTTTATCCTAGCTGGAGTGGTAGGAAGGGATGGACAAGAAGTGTCAGCACATGAATGAGCTCATATTGTGGAGACAAGGGCATCCTGAACAGGCAGCAATCCTGTGGAATGACTGGCAGAACATGTAGGAAAAAAAAAAAGAGAGCTTTACTAAATGTGTGGTGATGCCATGGTGGGAACCATGCTGCACCAGCCCAGGCTCAGGGAAGGAAGGAAGAAATTGTGGCTGTTGGAACCCAAGGAAGATTGAGAGCAAGAGAAAAAGAGGTTGCTACCAGCCAAGACATGGAAGCAAGCAATGCTTTTCTGTTGTAACCCAGTGACCCTAAAACACTACATCTTGCCTGACTAATACAGACCGTCTTGTTTTGGAAAAGCTGTCCATTGTTGCTACAAGCATCTGCTGATTGCAGCGTGCCCCGAGGGGAATCACTCCACCACAAATTCAAGTCTTTTTGGATCTCCTGCAAAAACAGTGTGAGAAAAGGAAATACCTCCAGCAGGACCCCATGCTTGCAGGGCACACTATTGGCAAAAACGGGTGTCTATCCAGGGTCTTGGAGATAACTTCATCCTTTGGATATGGTTAGAAAGACAGCTCAGGGGCCTGGCAGTGTCTCTGTTACGAGATGAGAAAAGGAACAGCCTCTGTCCTTTTGCATTGAATTTTTTTTCCCCTTTATCCTCCTCTGTGCTTGCCAGCTGTTTCTGGTTTGTAATAATACCTCGGGTGATAAGTATAAGGGTCGTGCACTGAACTGTCTACAATCACATTTTATACGATTAGTCAGGGTTTTTTTAAAGCACCCTAATTATTACAGTCAAACCGATTAAGCTATTCCTCTAATAGATTTTCAGTTCCTGTAAAATAGGCCAGAGAAAATGACTTACGGGAGGGGACGGGGGGAAGGGAAGGCTCTTTCTTTCTGTCTCTTTGGCCTTTGCTTTTCTAAAATGCCAACAGTGGCAGAGGTGTTAGAGGAGTCCCACTGGAAGCACTGGCTGAGTGCCCAGCAGTCAGGGGGTCTCTGGTACCCAGCTCCCCTTCTCACCTGGACTGATGCCCTTTGAGGGGCAAAAAAGTTAAAATCTTTTTGACTGAGACTTACTTTGCTTGGGACAGTGGATGACAAGTCATTTGATGGGTTGTGTTTTTCTCCATCATGGAAAACAATGTGTGGCAAATTGAAAAATGGGAAGGTGCTGAATGCAGTGGCATCATGCCTGAAGCATTCGCCACGGGGAAAGGCTGGGCAGGATTAGTGCTGGAGAGGCTTTTGTCCTGCAGACTCTGAATAGAAAAAGCAGAGCAAGAGGAAGTAGAA